TCAGAGCATACTCCATCTGTCTGTACTGAAACATCAAAATATCTTCTTGTGAGGAGTCCACCTTCCTTTCCACGTCTTGAATTTTGTCATCTAAAGAGTCAACTTTGTCTTCCACTTCCTCAAGCCTTGCATCGAGCTTAACCACCACAGTAGCCAAACCTGAAACAGCTGCCAGTATATCTTGTCGTAATTCATTATTATTTTCTTGCAATTTAGACTTTATCCCCGTTATCTCTTCTTTGAGATCAGATTTAATTTCTGATTTAATCTGTGAAACAAATTGAGTCATTTCCTCTCTCATTTGAACTACAATCTCTCCCATTATACCTCTAACCTCTTGCACTGAAAGTCCAGGTAAAGGAGGGGAGGGTGGTGGCTGAGCCGGTGGTGCATGTTTAGATTGTTGTTGTAGCTGTGCAGTGGAAGTTATAGGAGAAGAAATAACCTTGGGTATTGAGGAAGGCTGCTGCCTCTTTGAAGCCATTTTAAAAAGCACAATTGTCACTTCCCTTTCCCCTCCAGCCAAAAAGGGAGGAGGAAAAAAAGAAAAAAAGAATTTTTAAAAAGAGACAAACTATAATCATTAAAAGTCCAGAATAAATCCCAAGAATAAGTAGTAAAAGAGCAAACAATTCAAAAGAAAAAATTCTAAGCCAAAAGCAAAAGCAAAAGCAAAAAACAATCCTTAAAAAGGGAAAGTAAAACAAAAGAGAAAGGAAAAAAAAACTCCGACACTTTCAAAACGCCATCTTAAGTCCTTTCACTAGTATAACAAAGAAAAGGAGGAAAAATAGTAAAAATCAAAAGATAAAAAAAATAAACACCTAAAATATAACAAAAAATCCTTTAAACTGCTCCGTCCGTTTAAAAATTACTCACCAAAATGCTGTAAACACGGAGATAGAAGCGGCGGTTTCTTTTGCTTCCAAGGAAGCAAAAACAGCTGGGAGGCGGAGATCAGCAAGAGCTCCGAGGGAACACTCTGATCCACTAATTTTGTCACTTGGTCAAAGAATGCAATAAGATTTGTCTGGCATGATCTATTTTTGACAAACCCATGTTGGCTTTTAGTAATGACTTTGTTTGCCTCTAGGTGTTCGCTGATTCGTTGTTTGATTATCTTTTCCAGGATCTTCCCAGGTATTGAGGTCAGGCTGATAGGTCTGTAATTTCCTGGGTTCATTTTTTTCCTTTTTTGAAGATGAACTACATCAGCTCTTTTCCAGTCCTCTGGTAGTTCCCCTGTGCTCCAGGATCTTTGAAAAATATAGTTCAGTGGTTCTGAGATCACATCTGCCAGTTCCTTGAGAACCTTGGTGTGTAATCCATCTGGTCCTGGTGATTTGAACTCGTCTAGGCTGGACAGGTGCTTACTTACCATTTTCTTGCCTATCTTAACTTGTGTTTCTATTCTGTTTTTTATGGCACTAATTTTGGTAGGTTGGTCTGTTTTTTTCGCTTTGTGTAAAGACAGATGCAAAAAATGAGTTAAATAGTTCTGCTTTCTCCCTGTTGCTTCTCACCTTCTTTCCACTTTCACCCACTAATTGACCAATCATTTCCTTTTTCTTGTTTTTTACATATTGAAAGAAGCTTTTTTTGTTATTTTTGACTTTGGTCGCAAGCCTTAGTTCATTTTGAGCCTTGGCTTCCCTCACTTCATCATTGCAGGCTTGGGTTATTTGCTAATATTCTGACTTAGTTATGTGCCCTTCTTTCCACTTTCTATACTTGTCCTTTTTATCTTTCAATTTGTCAGAGAGTTCTTTATGCAGCCATGCTGGTTTCTTTTAAGAGCTGTTATTTTTCCTCTTTGTTGGTATTGTGCTAGACTGGGCCTTTATTATCTCATTTTTCAAAATTTCCCGAGCTTCTTGAGTTGTTTTCCCCTTTAGGATTTTCATCCATGGAATCCTTCCCAAGCCCTCTGTAAGTTTATTGAAATTAGCTTTCTTGAAGTCCAAGACGCTAGTTTGACTGTGTTCTATTGCTTGTGCTTCCATAATGTTGAATTCCAATATTGCATGATTACTTCCTCCCAGGGTTCCTATGGCTTCAACACCTTCTATCATTTCATCTCTGTTAGTGAGAATTAGATCCAAAATGGCTAATCCCCTAGTTCCCTTCTCTACTTTTTGGGAGACAAAGTTGTCTGCTAGGTTTGCCAGGAACCTGTTTGATTTTCCACTTGGTGCAGAGTTTGTCTTCCAGTTGATGTCAGGGTAGTTAAAGTCCCCCATTACTATTTTTTTTTATTGAAAATTTTTTAAAATTTTACAAAAACAAAACAACCCTTTCCCAAACCTCCCCAATCCTCCCATTCCCTCCCCCGACCTTCCCAGAGCTGAATATAGGCTTAATTAAAATTTCTTCAAAAAATCTTTAAAAAGATATAAACCATGAATAAACCTAAATACATTAATTGAACAAATTATAAGATAATTAACAATAATATATATATAAAAAAACATAAATACCAAAAGAAAAATACTTAAAAGGAAAAAGAATAAAGAAAAAGAAAAAATAAAATAAAAATAAAAAATAAAAAAGAATAAAGTCTATAAAATATTTTAAATTTTAAATATAAGTTATTGAAAAACTAAATAATATTTTTATATCCAACTTATATTGTATAAAATCTATCCATTTTTCCATACCGCAAAATACTTCTCTTGCGATTGATCCTTCAAAAAAGCCGAAATCTTTGCCATTTCTGCCAAATAAGAAACTTTAAAAAACCACTCTTGCAAAGTAGGCAAAGATTCCTTCTTCCAACATTGCCCTACTAACAACCTTGCAGCTGTAATTAAATTTAACATCAATGTGGTCTCTTTAGTATCACAATCAGTAACAATACCTAACAAGAACAATTGTGGGGTAAATTTTACCCTCCTTCTAAAAATTCTTTGAATATTCCACCATATCTTAATCCAAAAAGCTTTTATATTTTTACACGACCACCAGATATGATAGTAAGTAGCATCCAAACATCCACATCTCCAACATTTAGGCTGTAAGTCAGGATACATGCGAGACATTTTTTGTGGATCAAGGTGCCATCTGTAAAACATTTTGTAAAAATTCTCCCTTAAGTTTTGGGCTTGTGTAAATTTAACATTCCTCACCCAAATAATTTCCCAGGTATCTAGTAGAACTGGTTCACCAAAATTTTGTGCCCATTTAATCATACATTCTTCGACTAATTCTGCTTCTGAATCCAATTCTACTAACACCCCATAAATTCTCTTGATGTGAGTTCGTCTTTGATCTTTTATTTGTTTTAACAAATTCTCATCTTCTCTAAGCAAACCCACATTACGATCTATCTTCCACCTATCCACTATTTGTCTATACTGGAACCTGTCTATACTGGAACCAAGTCCCCCATTACTATTGTGATGTGCTTCCTACATACCTTAGTTAGCTGACTAGCAAAAAGGGGGACTTTTAGCTGACTAGCAAAAAGTTCATCTATTTCCTCTGTTTGGTTGGGTGGCCTGTAGTATACATCTATGGCAATGTCATTTTTTCCCCTTTTATATTGACCCAAATGCATTCAAGACAGTTTTTATCATTATTGTGCTCTATTTCTGTAAAGGTGTAGTTATTTCTTATATAGAGAGAAATTCCACCTCCTCTTTTATTTGGTCTGTTTCTTTTAAATAATTTAAATCCCTCTAGCTGTGTGTTCCATATGTGGGTTTCATCTCACCATGTTTCCGTAATGGCAACAATATCATATATGCCCTCATTAACCTGAATTTCTAGTTCACCCTGTTTGCTGTTCATACTCTGTGCATTGGTGCATAGACATTTGAGTCCTTTATGACTGGCCCTGTGTGTATTTTCTAACCTGTGTGATGCCTGAGTTCCCCTATTATCTTACCACCTATTTGGTTAGTGTACTTTGTGTGGCACTCACTATTAGAGGCTTGATTTCGCTTGACAGCAAGGTTGGTATTCTTGTCCACACACATCTTTCCCCTTCCTCTCTTCTTTTTTCCATCCATTCTTTTTCTAACAGATCTAATCCTTCCCATTAGCCCATCTCTATCCTGTTGTTTTTCCTTATTTTCCCCCCTTGGAAATGCATTTATGTTTTTAAATGTACGTGTGTCTTTCTGCAAGTGAAAATGGCTTGTGTATGAGGTTGATATATTCAGATGGAGGAAATCTTAGGGAATTTTACCAATGGTTACACATATACTTATATAAAGATGGGTCATGTGTACTTTTTATTGGAAGTGGGGTGGAGGAATGTCCAGATTTGAATTTGGTTCTGGGTTTGGTCCAGGTGGAATTGACATACTTAGGCTAACAAGAAGCAAATGGTAAGGATTACGTGGAGCATTTGAGCTTATTTTTTCTCTGTAGTTCAGAATGGATGGGGATTCACTTAAATTTAAATTTGTCCTCCTTTCTGTTCCTTCTTACCAACTCTCTTGAGGAAATATAAAATAGTCAAAAGCAGGAAGATAACTGGAAATATTAAAACTCAACAAAATCAGTTGTGTTGTAAACATGAATTTGATGCTCTCTAGAAATAAGCTTTAGAATTAAATTATTTATTAAATTAATAAATAAAAGCAAATTCCAAGACTGATGTACCAACTGGCCAGTGAGAGTGGTTATTGTTTGCATAAACAAAAGATTAAAGCAGAAGACAGCATATATGGTGGAGGTTGATATCTACCTGCTATCCAAACTCTCTGACATTTAACTGTATTTCACCTTTCTTCTAAAATTATAACTTGGGAGAAGTTTCTGTTCTGTCTAAGGAGGGGATTCAGATTAATATTATTTGTTTAGTAATGAAATATTATTTACAAATTCTTATTAGGATTGATAGTTTTGCAAAATCTGAATCATATTCACTGAGAGCGGAATAGTTTCTTTTTGTTGCCAGTGATATACCCAGCAAGACACAGTAGACAAAATTGAGAATGCCTTTGGCTTACTAATAATAGAATGACATTTTTTTCTTTTTTGGGGAGGAACAGAAACAGAGAAGATAGGACTGGAAACTGGAAATGGGTTGCCGTCCTGGAAATTTAATGACCAGCTCTTTCCTTGTGATGTATGTGGAAAAGTGTTTGGCCGACAACAGACGTTGTCCCGACATCTCTCCCTGCACACGGGTAATATTTTGTTTCTAAAATAAGATAGGATAGAATTTGTTCTTTTCTCAGGGTACGTTTCTTTGAAGGCAAATAAGCGTGAATAGAGCTGGAATCACTGCAGTGATCATAGGCAACTACTTAAAGCCATCATTAAAATATATCCTTCTCCTCTTTCTGTGATTGGAAGAACCATGAAATAAGAATCAGTTACTGAAATATTCTGAATTAAATCCATCTGTGTAATAAAAACTAACTGTTCCCACCCAGTTACAAATCTAAAGGGGGAAAAAAACCACATTTATAGAAGCAATCAGTTGTCTAGTAACAGAGGATAAGAGGTAAGGCTGTTATTTCTCATTTTTAAAAACTCAGTTGCTTAAGAACAGAAAGATGTCACCTTGTTTGTAGTCACCTCAGATTTCTGGAAATGTCCTCTACTTAGTTAAGGAAATAAATTTTAAAAAATTAATTGCCATTTTATCTTGATTACTATTTGATTTCTTTGTTAATATATTTGGTTTTAACTCTGACTTCAACTTTTCATGTAAACTTTAATAACTTTGGCTTTTATTTTAAATCATCAAGAGATTTTCAGTAACCACAAGCATAAGTTTAATAAATAATAACAAAATCAAACTATTTTTATGTTTTCAATTTTGCACTGAAAAAGTATTTGCTTATTTCTTCCCATAAATGAATGGAATCTGGAATCCATTTTCTGTTTCTGGTAGAAAATCTGGCCCCATTGGGTTATTACAATTGTAGATGTACATTCAAAACTCATGTACCATTCTGTAATCATACAGAAATGCAATTATAACAAAATATAACCGAATAACTAGCATACATTATATTTGCAGGTGAAAAAGAATTGAATAAATGTACTAATGTTATCCAATTAAACTATAAGACTTTTTCTTCCACAAAGTATTATTTGTCTATAATAAAAAATATAATAAGAATAGAAAGTATGATCATTTTGTTTTGCATAGCTATGCTTCTTGAAGTATTCTGAAGGATTTCTTCTATGGTATACTTTCCCAGTCTGGTTCAATGTGATGTACTTGATTTGGGTCACTCTGGCAAAGACTCCTAGTTGGGGGTCCAGGAAATTGTCCACATTGGGAGAAACTGTTCTAGATCATTGCTTTGCACTTAGTATTTTGATAAAATTGCTTTGGTGTTTTAGCATGTCTGCACTTTTTAAATTGCAGAAAGAAATAGTGTTTTAGTACACCTGTTGTTTATTTTTTAAATGAAATCAAAGTAGCGTATCCTTTTAAAGCCCAGGGAAGCCCAGGAAATTTCAATTTAAACTTGTCTCATCTATTAATTGAAAGCATCACAAATCTCTCAATATCTGTACTTCAAAACATCTAGATGGCCACAAGACAGCAGCAAAAACCTTTAAAAAAAATAGTGACTTCTTTTTCTCAAATATCCTGCAGCTGAGCCACTTCAGCTGCTATGGGGCAGATACAACATTGCCCAGATGCAAAAATTGATTGGTGCAAAGACCTTTATGTGGAAGTTCTGAATGGTGGTTTTTTTTTAGAATATAAACTTTATGTAAATATAAATATAAACTTTTATAAGAAAATTTGAGCGGGTATCCCTCCTTTTGGCTCACCTGGTTCAGCAACTCTTTATAATGATGGAATCCCCAGGCTCATACTTGTATCAAGAGATGCATACAAGAAACTTCAACTCAGGTTTTTTTTTTAATATTTCTTTCCAGAAGAGAGAAAATATAAATGCCATTTGTGCCCATATGCTGCTAAGTGCCGTGCTAATCTGAACCAGCATCTGACTGTGCATTCTGTGAAGTTGGTGAGTACAGACACTGAGGACATTGTCAGCGCTGTCACATCTGAAGGCAATGATGGAAAGAAGCATCCTTATTACTACAGGTGAGGATCTTTGTGAAAAGCAAACTTATAGGTCAGGTCTCAGTTTCTGTTTAGACTTATAAAAGAGCAACCACCATACTATTTACATAAGGATAATGATGTGTTTATTATAGCTTGCAAAAAGGTGCAGATCAAAGCAATTACCATTTTACAGTAGAACATCACACTTTGTACATCCCAAAAAATGAAGTAAAATGAAACTATATTACTCTCTTCCTTAACTTGTGCCTTCCAACCTACTTCTTAAGCTACGCTATGTCCATATTTGTACGCTAGGACAAACTTCATATTTTTGAGGACGTTCTGCAATAACAGATAGAAATGCCACATTTGTTAACCTAAGAATTGGTCTAGCAGGAACCGAAACCACTTTTGATATTAGTGAATTTTTGAACATCATAATTGTGTCTACTGGGTAAAATCTTGACTTTTGATCTTCTGAAAATGTCTGAATTAAACTAGGATATGAGCTATATTTTTTTCTAGTTATCTAAAATATGCTACGATACTTGCTCCTGAATAACTGCATTGTCTCATTTGTCTGCTGCACCTTCTATAAAGGTCATGCCTGAAAGTCTGGGATGCAAATTATGGGTCACTTGGAATTTACACCATGGGTCAGGGGTCTCCAACCTTGGCAACGTTAAGACTTGTGGACTTCAACTCCCAGAATTCCTCAGCCAGCTTTGCTGGCTGAGGAATTCTGGGAGTTGAAGTCCACAAGTCTTAACGTTGCCAAGGTTGAGGACCCCTGCTATGGGTAGTACCTTACTGAAAAGCCCCAGATCACAAACTGCCCAGTATTGCAAGAAGTAGCATGATGACATGAATGGATCCAAATAGCAATCTGCTGTAACCAAAAGGTTTTTAATCACTACTGCAGTTCCAAGTGGCCATCTCTGGATTAGTTGAGTGACTTGGCAATTGAGTATCTGGTCTGTTAATATTCAGACAAATTGCAGGAAACATTGTAAAATGTGTCAGCTGTAGAAACAATGTTAATGTAAATATACACGTGTTATCATTTGAAACAAGACTCACTCAAGGTACCACACACCAGTTAAATTAAACCATACAATTAGAATTTAAAAAATAATGATCATACAATTAGCACTTAAAAAATAATGAAACAATAAAATCCAGTAGTAAGCAGAATTAAAAGAGATTACTAAAGAAAGTCCTGCGTTCATTATCCAATTAAAGTATAGAGAGAGAGTTCTGGAAAGGGTTTTATAATTTGGCCATCCAAATAAAAGAGTCTGGTACACTGCTTAATGCACAGATCCAGATTTATCTGTCCGTCCTCAATATAGAAATTTATCGGATGACTTTGGGGTAAACACTGCCTCTAAAAGATTATGTGCTCCTAGAGCAGTTGAAGTCCACATGCCTTAAAATTGTCAAGGTTGAGAAACACTGTCCTAGAGAAATGGCAGAAAATAAATTTATTTTTCCTTATCCCGTGAACCATTCTGAGAGACAATTTTCATGAAATGACTCCTGAAATTCCTTGGTTCAAGACTATTTAGGCCAGCCATTTTCAACTTTCACCCAAATGCTAGACCAGAATTTCTGTTCTCTCTATTGAGCGTGAAAATGGGGCTGCTGAGGGTTCTGATCCTTTGCAGCTGGAGTGCCAAATTATGGAAATGTGAAGCTTTAAACGCCAAATCAGTGCTATAAGAGAAGGAGTTGATTACAAAATGTCCCTTACCGCTGTTTCTATCTGTGTATCTGGTTAAGCTTTTGCCTAATCAGGCAGAAAATGTTCCTGCACCCATTTTGGCTTGCTTGTATTAAGAATTCCAAACTTTTCTGTGTTAGATCCCAAGCTGACATTAGATATTTCCAAAGCTTGGGGATTGCTGTAAAGAGCAGAATGAGCTCCCCATTTGTCCACCTAGTAGGCTGACTGAACATCTTGGCAAGACTGCAGCACATCTTATTGCCCAAAGGAAATAGCTGGGTGATGTGCAGCATCTGGAACCTGTAGTTGTTAATTAACTTTATGATTATTTAGCATCATTATAGCATGTTCAGGATTGTTGCCTTGTGCCTGCCCTTAATCAGCTTGGCAAGGCTGTCCATTCAGAAGCAGTTCAACAGACAAAAGAATATCCCAGTGCAATTTTAGCTGAACAGTTTGTAAAACCAGGAGCTCGTCAGGATGAATTTTTTAAAAAAAAAAAAAAAAAAAAACAATGTTCACTATATCACAGAGGATCCCTAAAAGCATACTCTTTAATATTTCTAACTTTCTCCTGCCTCCAGTTGTCATGTGTGTGGATTTGAAACAGAGCTGAATGTCCAGTTTGTCAGTCATATGTCGCTTCATGTGGATAAAGAACAATGGATGTTTTCTATTTGCTGCACAGCCTGTGATTTTGTTACCATGGAAGAGGCAGAGATGAAGGCTCATGTTGCCACCAAGCATACAGGTGATAACCTCTCTCTGTGTCCAGGTTTGTCTCCTCCTTCTGCTTCTGTCCCACAACTCTACATCAGGGTTCACTGATGCCATTCCAGTTTGGTCCAGCCATTACAAAATTCTGATAGCCGCAATCTAAAATGGTGATTATGGCCAAATGGATTTTATATTCTTACTCATGTTGTCTTAGGCAAAAATGACATTGTGCATCATTTGGATTCTGTTCAGCCCTGTGTGAAGATTTTTTCAGAGCTAATTGCTGTCATTAAGTAGGAGAATGCAAGAATTCACTGAGCAGCTCTTCACACTTGCTTTGTAATATGGAATCTAGACTCTGTCCAGAAATTCTTTGCAAGAACAAGTAGTAATCTTGTGTAGGTATGATTTCATGAGCACCTTGATTGTACACCATCATAAATACAAATGTTAAAAATAATATAATGAACTACTTATGAAATACCTTCGTGTCATGTCACCATCTGCATGATCTGTTGTATTAGTTTCCTGTCATTTTCTCATTCTTCTGCCTGTAGCTTTGTCTGATCCTTCCCTGCTTCAATGTACATTTATGTTTTATTCCTAATATACATGCATTTTGACAAGCAGTTTTGTTGTACATACTTGTGCTTCTATCCTAATACACATTTTCGTAGGAGTTTTTAGAACTAAGAACTGCATAACTAGATTTGGAAAAGTGCATATATTGTTATATAACTGCGTATAGTTTTGTCTCTAAATTTTGAAATGTGAACTACACAAACCTCTATTAAAATACAAACCAAAATAAGGCTGCTTGCTAGACCAATACTTGCTTTCCTTCTTCTCAGCTGTGTTATCTGCAGAAAAATGCATTGCATTGAACTTGGAACATTGAACATAAGAAGGAAAACCACTCCTTCTCAATGCCCTTTTTCCTCTTTCTTTTTTGTCAAGTAAGACCTCTTGCTTGTTTAAAATGGAATTCCTTTTTAAAGACAGTATCCTTCCCTTTACTTTTCTTCCTAAATAGTTTGGAGTTGTAATTCAGACTGGAAATAGAAGACCCATCGACTAAATGTACTGCAAACACTATTACTTAATAAAGGCCTTTAGGCATTTTCAATGTTGGTGAAAAAGGATTTTGCCAGGCACAAACCACTTTGGTTAGGATGTTAATAGGTTCCACAGCTTAACTTGTCCGTTGATTTTCATTTTGCCTAAGGAATAATGTAATATAATTTGTCCAGTTATAATTATTTGAAAAATTAAAATAATTAGAATCCCAACATTGCATTAATACTCCAATTCCTGTGGGCAGTGCTTGGAAAAGTTAGTCATAAAGAGCTGTCATTGATCAAAGAAAAATGAAGTATTTTAACCCTACTTGGAACTCCAGATATGCATAAGGCAGAATAGAAAGAAACAAACTAGTACTTTTTTCTGCATTGAGGAGCAGGCAGATAAAGGAAATAGGTGAATATAGCAGTCCCTATGTTGTCAATGTGTCCCTCCCAAAGATCCTTCAAAAGTTGCCATGAAATTGTAATGCTTAATATGATAGGATTGGAAAAGTATTAAGCACTTTTAATCAACTTAAATGTAGTTAAATAGTTGAGCTGTAATTACAATCAGCTGTATGTTAATTAGATTTAGTTGTGACCCTGTTAACCTCTGTGTTCTGGCCTCCATTGTTTTTGGGAGGACAGTCCCTGATATGTCACTCAAAGCCTTACTGCTTTAAAATAACTGTAAATGGTGCAAGTGGTACAAAAACATCATATATAGCTAACTATATTTTAAAATTCATCAATGTAAAAATACTACTAATGTAAGTGGGATACATAGAACTTTTTTGCTCTCTGGCTCTTCAGAAACAAGTTCAAGCTGCCTGGTGATCATCTTTGCCCCAGAAAGATGGGCACAAGATTATTAGAGGTATCCATTTGGGTTTTAAATCTAGAATGAGATATACATTGGACATTAACCACCCCCACCCCCAAAAAGTTCTACTTAATTTCAGAAAGGAAATCATATTTAAAAAGATCAAATTCTCCTTTAGCTGTGTACTTAATCGGCCCACATAACTGTGCTAAAATGACTCCAAGCAACTCCAAAGCATACTTGGCCAATATCTTAGGGGCAATGTTAAGTGTTTTATCAGGTGCTTCTGATTTTACCTGTTGGAAATTTAACTTCCTTAGCGGGGCTGGCTTTTACACTGACAATTCCAAAACAATATTGCTAACAAGTGAAATTATAAGAACTCATTAAAATCTAATAAGCATCTAAGGTGCAAGAAATGCCATATCCCTAAAAAACCCAACAGAAGCCATGTAACATAGAAGCATGCTATTAAACAGGGCCATTTGATTTTATTATTTATTATTAATTTTTTACCTCCTTAAAATGCAAATATCTTTTGTAGAGCACCTACTCTTCAACTTTCCAGTTGATCAGTAGGAGGATATAAACCAGCATCTACCAATGTCCACCACCCATCCATAATCTGTTTGGTTTGGTATTTAAATCAATTGACCTTTTGCAGAGGTTGTGGGAAGGATTGTAAAGATAAATTAAACCATTCTGTTTACTAAAAGAGACGAGAGTACAGTAATAGCTTGAAGTGCTTAATCTCAGTTAGAAGGAAATATAGTTGTACTCAGGAAATCTTAAATTTGTTTAGCTTAATTAATTAAAGAGAAGTCTGCATTTAACCCAATCATCTTAGATTTGCACAGTGTCGGTAGGATGTATGGATCTCTGAACTGAATTACTTGCATGCTGATTTCAATAAGCAGGTTAATGTTTAGCATTGATTCCTTTGATTTTTTTTTTTTGTAGGTGAAGAAAGGAAAACACCCAATGATTCAACCAGTCCTTCTTCTTCTTCCTTGTCAGCACTTAGTGATTCTGCCAATAGTAAAGAAGATGCAGATATCAGCCCCAAGCCCAAGGGACCCAATAACCTGCTAGTTATTTCCGTAGTGCCTGGTAGTCAGACTCTATTAAATGCGGAAGAAAAATCAGAGAAAGGTAAAAAGTTGGCGAAGGAATGCAAAGTGACTCCATCCACTTTCTCAAGGCTGTCGTGCGTGACTTAGGTAATAGTGTCTGTAATTTCCTTCTGCAGGTTTTGAATGTGTTTTCTGTAACTTTGTCTGCAAAACAAAAACCATGTTTGAGCGCCATTTGCAAATCCACCTGATTACACGGATGTTTGAATGTGATGTGTGCCACAAGTTCATGAAGACTCCTGAGCAATTACTGGAGCACAAGAAATGCCATACTGTCCCCACTGGTGGGCTCAAGTAAGGAAAGCAAGTACACAAACTTTTACTGTGTTAAGTACCTTGATCACTGTGGAAGTAGAAACAGAGATACTTGCATGGGAGGACATAGAAATGTTGGGGGAGATAAAGCCAGAGAGCTTATTATGAAGAACAAATTGAAGATGCTGTAAATCAGGAATAGGCAACATATGGCAATGTGTGGCACTTCTGATGTTGCTGAATTATATCTCTCAACATCCCAAGGGAATATGGTTAATAGTGATGGTGGGAGTTATAGTTTAGTGCCATTTGAAATACCACGTCACCTAGCGGCTACTAGAAAACAAACTCATCTGGTTTCTTAAGTGCACTGATGCTGCACTAAACAAGAATAAGAGTATTGAGCACTACCGATTTATTTTTTACCAACAGTGCATAAATGTTTGGTGTCTCTGTAATTAAAATAGTTCCATAGGCTCAGACTGGTACTAATACATTTCCAGTTATATGAAAATTCTTAAATATTGTCTTATGATAATGACATTAACAGTTGCAAAACTAACTCTAATTCAAAGAAATATAGACAAATATACTAAATGGACTATTGCTGATATAAGTAAATATTATCTACTGCTGGTAGGTCTTCATGGTATGTTAACAGAGGTATGTTACATTACTGTGTATGTTACTGTGTTAGCTGGGAATTCTAGGATGTAGTCCCAATGTATCTGGAGGGTGCTAGGTTGAATCCTGACTAATTTGATACTTTTTAACATCAGTTACCAATGATGGTTTCAAATTTATATTAGAAGTCCTTTAAGCTATTGTTTTCAGCCTAATAAAAACACAAATGCTACTGCCACACGGTAATCTGATTCTAAATGGAGTAGGCACATGCCATAAGTAGTAGCAGATCACTAGATTAAAATATTAATATTCAATTATATGTTTATCAGATATGATTGGGAACAGGGTACTCTTGAATGTGTGAAAACATGAATGCAGCCTTCTCTGATTCATTAAAACAGCTGTATCTTTGTTGGCTACTTTTATGAATTACAAAGACTTTACTGCTTATCAAAATTTTCCTAATAGAATCAGAAGCATTGCACGGCCCACAGGTTTACATATGTAGCATTTTAGAACTTTCACATGATAACTTACGGCAAAATATTTTCAGCATTCACTATTACCTCTAAACTGTTAAGTTCATTACACTATTAAAAGTCACTAATAATTAATCTAATGCAAGTATTTCTGAGAAGTAAGTCTTCTCATATTTGTAAGTCTTACTCTATTCAACTAATAGTTGGGGCCCCACTAAATTTGTATTATTTATATTTTTATGTAACAGTATTTAAAGACTGCCCCAATTTGTACAGACTTTAGATAACAAACCACAAATCAATATGCAATAACATTTAAATTATCAATAATAATGGTAATAATAAATTGTCAGTGATGGTTTCTTGAACACCACTAATTCAAAAATATTAATACTACTCAAAAGGAAGATATTTCCAAGTCTGTGGCTTTAGTTATGGATAATAGTAAACACATTGAAATTCTGCTGGTGTCAGCAGCAGATTAAGTACATACGTAACAGTTCTTTTGTACAATTATCCTACCCTGCCACCATTGGTACAGAAATATACAACCAATGATGATAGTACAATTTGCTATCACTGCAGAGCAGAGCCCTCTCAGTGGGATTTTTTTTACCACTTTTTATATTTATTGATATAAAAATATATCCTTTGGCCTTCTAGGACTCAGTGCAACCAACAACAATTCAATAAAATACAATAATTTCAAAGAAAAAAGTGAATCTCGTAAAAGCAGACAGGTGTAGCTGATAAAAGAATACATACCTCAAAAAGCAAACAATCTCTCGAAAAAGTGTTTATCAAAAGCAGAAGGTTATTACACAAGCTCACTGCAGAGAAAGTCGAGGTGCCCAACCTTGGCAACTTTAAGACCAGTGGACTTCAACTCCCAGAATTCCCCAATCAATGTGGCTTCTGGAAATTGAAGTCCACAGGTCTTAAAGCTGCCAAGGTTGGACACACCTGGTTTAAGTGTTTCCTCCAAAAGAGTTTCAGTGACTTTTAACTTCTTCCTGTAAAAGTTTAGAATTGGTCCTTTCAAGGTTTAGAATCAAACAGTGTTGTGAAGCACTCCTTTCATTGTGAAATATAGAGTACCGCTTTTAAAATTTCTCAAAAGCATTGAAATGATTAGCATCCCTGGATGAGATGACTGTCCCCTACACAGAAGCCGAGAGTTCTCCCACACTCTTTTCCACTGGATTTGTAATAGTCGCTAACAGAGCGTTTAGCATAGCCTGTGTAAATCTCACCTTTTTGCAGAGGCAGGGACATAGCAAAAGTTTGGTTTCTGAAATGGAGTTGCAAAAACAAATGGCGTTACTAAAAACAGCACAGGCAAGCACTTTCTTCTGCACACAGATGTTGTACAAGAGGAAAAGAATCACATGGCAGGATGGGTTGAATATTTAAGTACCCTCCAGAAACTGCCGGGAAATTGCAGGGGCATATTAAGAGCAATGGGAGCCTAGTCATGAGCAGGCATTTTTGGAGGGGGAGGGTGGTGTATGATCAAAGTCAGTATCAAGTTCAAAAAGTAGTTAATGCACCCTGTGAAATGGATTTATCTGCTGCTGAATCAGGGTGTCTGTATGCAGACTGCAAGCAATTACTATTCCAGTTAGCCTATTTATCTCACTATCTATACTTTGCAAAAATACTTGGGCTGCATTATCTGATGTGAATAAAGTTAAATCTACACTACTTTATGAAGTTTGAACAGTACATTTAAAGAGATTAAAATATTTTGACATATAGAGAAAATATTTTACTGGAATATTGGGGAAAGTGGTAGGATGTTGCAATTGCTTACTTATCATACTGCCTATCAGATTCTCAATTTTTAGATTGTTCTCCTGAAAATAAGGTGCAACTTTAAAACTACCAAATATGCTTGAAGCGGGAGAACATTTTGCAGAAAAGATTTGATCCAGGAATAATTTCTGATCCTCATCCCTCTTGTCTTTAAATTGAAAAAATGTAGCGGATGAAAAGGGTTCATCCATCTACAAGAGTAGCTTCTGTGTATTCTTATATTGTATGGTGATTTTGTGTGTTCAGCAACATGAGTGAGCATCCCTTTGGGATGGAAGGCAAGGAGATCCTTTGGAGTGTGAAGAAGTGTAGTGTAGCCCCTCTCTTTTCTTAGGGTTTGCTGGAGTGATGTTTAGGAAGGCAGACAGATGCTGCACATAAGCACTTTCCAATGCTCCTTTTTGCCTTTAAGTTTGAATTGCTGAACGTACCTATTAAGCAGCCCCAGAAAGTCCATGTCATACAAGAGGAGAAAATAATCGCTCCAGGCAGCACTGTAACAGAGAAAAAAGATTAAACAAAATCTGGAATCTGAGCCCATAAGGAGCTCATCCCACATGAGTCCTATGGCTCAACCAGCAGGTTGGAAGAAGTGGCAGATTGTGTCCCTGTTGTGGCCATCAGGATTGCCCTTTGTTTCTCCAGCTGTTGCCAACCAGCAAGTCATAGAAGGCTTTTGCTGCTTCAGCACCTACTGTTTAATTTTAAATATTACTTGGCATTGCAAAAAAGCATCTGGCATTCTCCTGAAGTCTCTCTTACAACTCAGCCCACAGTTCACTTGCTATTTAATTTGAGTTTTGAAATGGCATTTGCTTCTTTTGTGCCCAAGTCACTGAAATACAGCACTTTCTGGTCTTCTTGCCTGCAGTGGCTTATCTGGAAAAGAACTCTTTTCTCCAAGAGGCATTGAGGGGCAAGGTTACCACAGAAATAATTATATCATCCTATTGAGACAAATAATCTATAAGGCTTGTTTTTTAAGATAGAAGGAGAGAGGTGGCTTCTGTAAAGGAAAAAAATTTAAAAGCAAGTTGGGAGATAGACATTGCAGTGGAGTAAACCTTAAGTAGCAATATGTTTCCTTGAGTTTGTACCAAACTCAGTAAATATTTATTTATGAATAAAACATTAATCATTAGAATAAAGCTAAATTAAAAGCTTCATTCGTACTTTATATCTGTTATATCAATATTGTAATTTAAAATGTGTCTTTGGATAAATCTTCCCATTTTCAGTGTAGTCAGTTGCTGAAAAACAAAAAAATGAGAATAGTTTGAAAATTGATTTTAAAAAATTTGCAGGGTCAGTAGGTTATGGTCAGGGCTTGTACTCTACCCCCTCCCCCCATGAAGCTTCCAAGGGATTTAGTCAGTGATACCAGGATGATATGAACAGCTGAAGTGAATCGTAGCCCTTTCAGAGATTTGGGGAGGACAGTGAAATATATAATCATCATTTTGTCCTAGTTTGATCATTTGGAACTTGACTCATTCGGGGCCCTATAGCAAGCTTTTTTCTTCATCTGTCCCCCCAAAGTGGAGAAATCAGCCTGATGGTACAGAGAGAAGACTGAAATAGTGAAGTGAGTGGCTTAAATTTCTGCAAAACCTTAACCACCAAATTTGTCATCCCTAAAGAGACTAAAAACATGCTATAGAAATCAGCCCTGCCTACTCTGAGGGACACAAAAGGGCTCTGGGAACGCTATATGGGGTATATGTTGCTCCCAGCTGATCTAGATCCATGTATCAATCTATATTTTGCATTTTAACAGGTGTCCCTTCTGCATTTATTCCACAAACCGTCCAGCAGCGATGGAATGCCATTTGAAAACCCACTACAAAATGGAGTACAAGTGCCGGATCTGCCAAGCAGTGAAAGCCAACCAGCTCGAGCTGGAAATGCACGTTCGAGAGCATCGCCTTGGCAACCACTACAAGTGTGATCAGTGTGGCTATCTTTCAAAGACTGCCAACAAGCTGATAGAGCATGTGCGTGTGCATACAGGGGAACGCCCTTTTCACTGTGACCAGTGCAGCTACAGCTGCAAACGCAAAGACAATCTCAACCTGCACAAGAAACTCAAGCATGCGCCCCGGCAGACCTTCAGCTGTGAAGAGTGCCTCTTCAAGACCACCCACCCATTTGTCTTCAGCCGCCATGTGAAGAAACATCAAAATGGTGACTGCTCTGAAGAGGAGAAAAAAGGGCAGGGTGTGAATTCTAAGGAAGCCAGGCCCCTGCTCGTGGCCAACAGTTCCCACAGCCTCTTGTCCCCTCTCTCATTGATGTCAGCCTCCCATGCTTTACAGACAGTGGCCATGTCAGCCGCTCAAAGTGGCCGGGCAGAGCTGAGGTCCTTGACCGTAAACGGCACTTCCCTGTGCTTTGATAAATACCGGAACTCTGAGTTTGCCCACCTCATTCCCTTGACCATGTTTTTCCCAAAAAACCACTTTGAAATCACATTCCATTCACCTCAATCACAGAGCCTACGTTTGGATGACACTTCGCCAAAACACTCCTTCCTTGCCTATCTCGGACTAACAGAAAGAGCAGAGGCTCTCTAGGACAGCCTCCTCTGTACCAAAAATCCTCCACACCGCACCCCGTCACACCCACCAGACTCCAAGCAGATTTTGTTTCAAACGATAGATCCAAGAGTTTGGCTGCCCAACCAATTGTACAATATATCATTAGGAGTAAGACACATTAAAGAACATGGCTCCATGTGTCTCCTTAATACATGGCCTTGAAGGCTGCTTTGTTAAACCTTCAGACAGATGACCTCCTACATATTTCTACTTTCAGAGGCATGTTTCTGTACTCTCACCTGAGAAACGTTTTTGTCTCTTAAGCTGAACAAGAGTGTCCTTAATGGCAGTCAGCACTAGCTAAGATGACCCTTTGATGCATTTGACTTTGGGTTGCGAATCTGAGCATTTCTAAAAAAAAGAGTTTGTGTGCCATGGCATTGCTTTTGCACATCCTTTTGTACTGGCTTATTTAATATGAACTTAAGCTGCCTTATGCTGCATCAGACAGTCCATCAAGCCCAATATTGTCTATTATGATTGACTCCTCTTCTCCAGGGTCTCAAATAGAAGTCATTTCTAGCAGCTGTTTCCTGAGATTTCTTAACTAGAGATGCTGGGGACTGAATCTGGGATCTTTATACGTACAAAGCATGTGCTCTACCACTGAGCTGTAGCCCCACCCCTGTGAAACATTGTAGTCGTCCATGCTTGCTCACCTTGCCTGCTTCTCTTTTATTGCTCAGTTATAGAATGTAAGAATGGCAATCAAGAAGAACTAGCATGGCAGTCAGTCCTGCTGGGAATTTGCTATGTTACAGCGGCTAGGTTAGTCTCACATCTTAGAGTCTGATGGTCAGGGCAAAAACAGAAGAGGGGAAATTACTTTAGCCTTGCAAGGTGATGCTATTTCATATGATAACTTTTTTCTTACATGGAGATATTCTGTATGGCCGTGCAGGTACACATGTAATATGAAGGGCTTTTCTCTGTGTACACACTTGAGTAGCCAAGTTTTCATACCTGCTGCTCCGTGGATTTATTCATGTTCTGACCCTTCCCAGCAAAAAAAACCACTCCTATTACCCTTGAAATAATACCGTCAATGTGATTATCTCTATGAATGAAAAAAGATAATGTTTAAAGCAGTCCTGAATACATAATAGTGATGTATGAGAAGGCAACTAGATTTATAAACAACAACTGTGTTGCATACATGCTCCCAATTTGATTGTTTGGTTACGTTCACGTGACTTGGTCCTTTTTAAAAATAATTTTGGCTACAAATACCCAATAGCAAGGTACATACGATAAGGCATTTGTTTTAGACTGGACATATACATTACATTTAAATTACTGCTTTCCTTGGTCAGATAACGAGACAGAAACCTGATCATTTTGTCAACTCGCTTCTAGTCAACAAAGAAAAATATCTGATTCAAAAATAGCACTGTTCAAATTTGATGCAAGGCGACTACAGAAAAATATAGCAAACAGCCCTCAGACCACAAAATCACATCTACACATTCTCAGTTGGTCTGAATGCAGTGGTTAGCTTAGTTTGTGAGGGCAAGGATGCACATTTAGAAGTGATTAAACCCAGAAGGAATTTTTAAAAGGAAGGATTTCTTAAATTCTGGGCAATAGGGCTCAGACTAAATAAAGGCAGTTTTTGCACAGTGGTTGAGTCTTGCACTAGTATGTTTCTCACTAGCAAAAAAAAAAGTAAAAGTAAGAAACATATCAAAGATAATGTTTCTTTTTTTTACTGAAAAATATCGTGCAAGTTCTTTCAAATGGAAGGAAAAAAGGTGCTGTTTAATGATAGAATTCTCTTTTATATGTCCAACTATTCAGCTATATTGGCAACTTCATGTTCTATCCCCTTCATGCTATTTGTATTTCTTTATAACATTTGCTAATGTTTACTCAAGTATACTCTTCTAGGAAGGTAACTTTATATTTTCTTAAGGCTCTTATTTTTAGTCATTAAAATGACATAAATATTGCACTTTATTGCAGTAGAAGCAAATGTTGCATTCCTAATGATTGAGTTAAATATTAACATTTCCTAAGATTTTTTTTAAAAATGCCCATGCACTGAACATTTATTATAAATCACTACCATAAATTCCCTACTAAAGAAATATGGGGGAGGGGGGAATTCAGAGATTTTACAACAGAGAACAAGGAAGGGAAAAGCCTAAATACCAGCCATTTATAACACTGAAATAACAAGCATAGTCAAAATAATGAAAGTTCACAAAGAAGTTTAACCAACATAAGGACTTATTTGGCTAACTGTTATGGTAAAATAAGTCATTGTTCTAAATCTCCTAATAAATTTTGGGGCCCTGTTTATTGCACTAAATTCTGATAAAAATACTTTTTGAAATTTTGTAAACTATTCATCAAAAGGATAAGGTTGGTGTAATGCAGTGTTTCTCAACCTTGACAATTTTAAGGCATGTGGACTTCAACTCCCAGAATTCCACAGCCAGCAATGCTGGCTGTGGAATTCTGGGAGTTGAAGTCCACATGCCTTAAAATTGTCAAGGTTGAGAAACACTGGTGTAATGTAATGAACTAACTGTGACTATGCAATAGTCAGCATCACTTCTTGGAGCCTTCCCCAGCCGTTCATTGTGCTGGCAGAGGCTGCTTGAGGGTGGAAGCCCAATGTATGCTGAAGCATAAAATAGAGGAAGGTTGAGTTTCCGATCCTGTTCCCATGACATGATTAACCTCATCCATGCGCCAGGTTATACTCACCATCCATTGTCAGTGGATCGGTCCATGGGCTGAGAGCCAATGTTTAAAATTCTGTTGTTGTTGAGGGGCCGGAACACATTTTCTGCTTTTCCTTTTTTTCACCCTACATCAGAGTGAAGAAATAAATTTCAAGAAGGGTGTTCTTACCCATTTATTAGTCCTTTTTCTGCTATTCAGTCACAAGAGGGTGGAAACCAAATCAGCCATATAGATGGAATGTCTAGGGGAAAAAAACCCTTTCACAGGCCTCTCTAGAATTTCATCTCTATCCAAGGCAAGATCAGTGTTAATTAATCACATGGTCAGTGGCAACGTGGCTAACCAGAGGGATTTAATTTAGTTCTTTGCAAACTTGTTTATGGCTAGTTTTAAGTCCCTTGTGTCTGGTTGCTATCTCAGTTAATCCATAAGTTAACCCTGTTGGCCAGATAAGTGTCATGGGAAAAGGGTCATTAATAGTCCTCTCCTTTACTTGTTTCCAGTGATGCACATCTTGGGGGATAGGGCTCCCGTACACCCTAACCTCATGAGTACTGAAGCCTGGCAACAGAAGACTAGTAAAGAATAGGGTGTAATCTGGGAGTACTCTGTCACATGGGAGTAGAGCAGTGGCAGATCCAGCTGTGCAACAGTAATGGTGTTCTAATAGTACAAGTGGGATTTTGCAATAAATGAATGATCTGGCCAATTTCTCTTACCCAGAATGTGGCTGCGACAGCATTGCCAAATAGTGAATGAAAGTTTGATCTCAATTATCTAATCCGACCTTCTCCAACCCAGTACCTTCCATGCATGTTGGATTACAGCTTTTCTCCATTCCAGACAGCATACTTTGGCCATGATTAAAGTTATGCATCAGTTCATGTGGAGGGTACCAGGCTGAAGCAACCTAAGCTCTGGAGGTTTGGGAAACTTGTTTTGGGAGTAACCTTGAAGCAATTATTCAGCTACAGTTGATATTAAAGGTATAAGCTTCATAAATCTCTTCGACTGATGATTTTGGAAGAAATAAAGTTAACACTCATTAGGGAGCATAATGATTTAGAATGCTAACAATTTGTGGCAAAAATAATAACGGAGATTTCTTCCTACAAGTGGCTACTGCAGTTAGTTACATATATTCAAGGTGTTTTAAGACAACTTCCCAAAAACCAGTGACCCTACAAAAAAGAAAAAAAAAGTATTGTGCCAGCAAGTAAGCTACGCATGCATAGGAATGTTATAAACATTTTTTCTGTAAACCAAATAGTGCAATATACATAGGGGATTTCAAGGAATGAGAGTATTATGATGCTATGAGCAATTTAATGCCTTGGGTTTAACCAGCTTCCTTTTGTATTTGTCATTGTAATGCTTAATATAATTGGGCAGCTTTATTTAGCACTTTGACCACTGAATTATTTCTGGAAAGTTAATTATGCATTGTTTCTGTTTAAGATGAAAAAAAGAATTTGAGGTGTTTTTATTTTTTTAAGAAAAAAATATACAATATTTATCAGCCCTTGCATACCCAAGAATTGGTTTGCTGTTTGACGCGAAAACTAGGAATGCTCACTAATATACCTTTTGCTTATTAAAAAAAAAAACGTAATATTTGTACCAACAGTTCACTTTGTACCTGTTTTTCCCCACTATGCACTCCTTAAAATAGCCTGGCTTCTTGTTTTCAATTGGTTAGATTCTCAGCACCTTTCTTGCTTTCCCTTTTTCTTTTAACTTGCTGTATCATATTCAAATATCACACTGTCAAGGTTTGTGTACATTAATGGAAATTTGTAATGTATAAAGCTTTTTTGCATTATAAGGCTGTACAGGGTCATTTTGACAGTAATTAGTATATTTCTCTGCATCTTATGTTGCATTGCCAATTTCTAGTGTATCCAGTTTGGAAGTATATATAATCAAATTAAAACAAAGTTGTCTATACTCTGCCACCAGCTTTGTATTTCTTTCAGCATTGTTTTATTATTTACATATATAGAGAATTATTCTACATTCCATAACAAAATTGTACTTATGCTTCCAACTCAGATCAGTTGTTCAGATCAGAGTAGATTAGTGAAGGCTGTTGCTGTCTAGCTCTGTTATTTTTAATTTTATGCACAATTTAATCTATAAAGTTTTGTTCTTTGAATGTCACTGGGCAGCAGAGAATATCTGAGGGGGGTCAGAATGAAGCCATAGAGAATATTATAACTAAATGACCAATGTTGCCTGCTGGTACCTCTTTTGGCACATCTGCACCAAGCTCTATTCTCTACCTGAATGTAATAGAGGGTTGTTGTTTTTTTTAGCATGGTGCAAAGGGAAGTGCCAAGCTCCAAACAATTTTTATTTCCAAAATTTGTTCTGGCTGTACATAGGCCCTGATGCATCCTTAGAAAATAAAAATTGTACTATAATGTTTTACTAGAAAAAAGATTCACCTGCCCAGAAGAACAGGATGGTGGGGAATAAACTAACCAGTCTGCCTTATGGTGAAGGTAAATGGTGTGATTAGCTACACCCATAATTGCTGTCTTTGGCTGAGAATGTTTCTAGCAAATATCCCAAATTCAAAATGTGTCTAAAAGAAACTCTGAATTTGGGATCACCTGACTTTTCACATTATACATATTATTTTTTGTTTTCATCACTTTATGTAGGATACAATCCTGCAAGAATATCCCTTAAAGATACGACTGGAGGATTTATTTCTGTAAACCTACGACTATAAGGCAGATAGTAGAATCTCCTTTTTTTCTTGGGTCTTCTATGAAATAGGGAGTGTAGTGAAAACGGAGAAATTCTTCTCCAAGAGTTCAAGTCCTGCAATGATAAATGAAACATTGGCTTGATCTTCCTACAGTATACAGGGAACAAGCAGAGGCAGGAGAAGCCAGAAAAATCAAACACCAACAAGCCATTCAGGATGTGGCTTTCCCCTTCTGGGGGGCTTCCTGAAAAGGAGAAGACGTCTTTTATTTATTCTTTCAGGTTTTTATCTTTTCAGAAGCTGCTGGGAGTTGTAGTTCAACACAATCTGAAGACTAGAAATTCCTCTCTCCTAATCTGAATCCTACAAGTTTATATTTTTCCCACATATTTTTGCTAGAGAGTCTGTTGGTAGAATAAAAGCAAGAATAAATGAGCACTCTTGTGTAGTGCCTTTTTTTAATCAACTATTAACTTTAATTGTAGCTGTCAAGATTTGGTACATACAAAAAGATGGTTTTAATGATTCATGTGCTTTTTTCTGTTAGTTTAGATTTAAAAACAAACCTCTGATGAAATCCGTTCAAGGCTTTATGTATATCTAACACTGTAAGGGCAAGAGATCTGTCATTAACCCTGCAGTAATGGATAACACTAAGAATGAGTCTGATGTAATCTGAGAATTGGAAATGGGTCACAAATTATATTTTATTGGATATTAACTCTAGCAGTCCAAATAGCTGAGATAATTTTAAAGTCTAATTTGTCTAGTGAACTATGGAGGCATTCCTGGCTTATAAACTGAGTTTCTGGAGACCTGACAAAGGTTGATGGCAAATACTGTCTAGCGCTCGTTGAAGAATAGCTTTAGTCTAATCATTAATACTATCACACTATTCTTATTTGATACAGATATGAGGTGGGGGAGAATGTCAGTAAAACTAGGGCTTGTTGAGTTTTACATCTATTTGCGGTGTTTCCTTCCTAGAATATTATGGTTTCTAAAAGTTTATTGATCCTGTCAATGGAATTGATTTCTACTTTGTCTAAATATGCATCCCTAGGGTTCTTCAGCGTGGTAGCATGAAAATGCTGCTATGCAGTGCAGGAGCCAACAGAAAACTCTGCTAGCTTATTGAAAGGGCTGGCCACACTTCCCAAAGCAATTATGCCTTAGCAAGGAAGCAAAATAGGAGTGGAATGGGAAGTGCCTTCTTTGGCACCAGTAGCTGGCAACAGAAGACATGGAGTGTCCATGGAGACTGGAGTGTCCATTCTGTGGGATTAGGAGTTTGGCACCAAAGGAGCTGTTCCATCTCATTTCTCTGCTGCCTTATGCCCCCTGTTCCCTGCTCATCCTGCCAACCATGGCTAGGAGGGAGTGGGAAAAGGTGACCTGTTCCCCCATTTTCTCCCCACCTCCTTTCTTTACATGGGAAGAGAAAAAGTAAAGTGAGTTTTAATGGTTTTTAGCAGTTTATATTGCTTGTCTAATCTTTCTTGATGGCAATAGCTGGCCTCATCTCCATGCAAAACTGAAGTATAGCATTGATGCTAAACACTTTTAAGGGAAAACAAAGCAGTGAGAGAGTTTTTGCATGCTGGTAGAGCTCTGAACTCGACAATTGAACAACTACCCTTGTATTTACTTTTGGATCTTAAAACAATGCATCGGGGCCAATAAATCTTAGATATTTGTCCTCTTTATTTCTTTATTTCTAACTCATCACTGACATCATTGTCATGCAGATTTTTTTTCTCATTCATGCAATCCATCTAGCTTTGTGAATACATGATGGAACGTGATTTGCATTTGAGCAACACTGGGATTATAAAGTAAGAGATTTATACTTGTAAGAACCCATGCAATATATGAACTTCCCTTCTGAATGTTTATCTTGAGCTGTGAAATCAGGAGTTGCTTACACTTTCTCAGCCTCACTTATGGGTAAGTGGGTTTTTGCTCACAAGTCCTCTTTTTTATTTAAGACACCTGGGATTTCCTAAATTGAATCACAGTAAGATTTCAGATAATTCTATTACCTCTCTTAGCATATTCACGTTTTTATTATTAGATAATTTTTAAAAAGACCTTTTTATTAGCTTTCCAGGAAGAATAGCATACCAGTTTTTAAATCCAGATTTTAGAAAAATAAAATTTGCAGTTCTCAAGCTGACTGTTAACCCAATGATCCTTCCTCCAAAAGAATTTTTCATGGGATTTTTTTACAGATATTGTTGGGCTGTCTTCCACTCAGTTTCCTTGAAAAGGCATTGACAATGTGCCACTGCATGTTACTGTACGTTGGAGATTAAGATCCTATGGTCCTGCAGAAGTAGCCTGAACTGCACTCCCAACAGCTGAACCAGCAAGACAAAGGAATGTGAAGAATTGCAGTTTAGCAATACCTAGAAGACCACAGTTTAACTACTCTGGCTCTGCATGCTATGAAAGTGATTCAGAAAGTGAGTTTGGACAATATTTCTCTGCTGTTCATTACAATCAGTCTGCTGGCAGGAATTTGGGGGGAAAAAAAGCTGTTATTTTAAGGAATATGCCAATTAAAGTTAACATGGCTAGCAATGATATTTTTTAAAAAAAAAATCAGACTCACATAAAAGCTTGTGAAAGTTGGTGATATAACAATAAAAGAAATGGGCTCAAGCAGTCTGAAAGTCTTCTTCCAAATTCTTTTCCAAGTATTTGCATCCCTACTTAATGCTGTCTAGAAGCCAGTTTCTCCTCTATTGCTTTCCCTCCTCACACAGCACTTACTCTGTTCTTTGTCTCTTCAATCAACTTTTCCCCCTAAGTTTCCACACATATAGACATATTTTTCATTTTACATCAACCAGACCCAAGAAGCCACACCAAAAATGATTATTCAGGGTTTTTTTTTAGTGCCGGAAAGGGCATTTAACTGCAAAAAGGGATTTCTTTGACTGAAGTATTCATAGAGAAAATCATAGTTAAGGCCAAGTGACAAATATAAGGACAAAATCATTACACTTCTTTATTTAAACAAAGCACACAACAAAAATATTTAACTTTTGTTTTGTTTAATCTGCACTAGGTTGCTGAATGTTATGCTTGTAACAGAAATCAAATAAATACGTTCATACTTTTAAATTTCTTTGTTTAACCAGGCAGTGAAACAGTAGCATCAAGTAGATATCCTTTATTTCATATTACTTAAAAAGACATTTTGAAATGTTTTCTTTCTGTAACCTGGCCATATAGGGGTATAGAGGAGGAATTATGGAGATAGAATGGGCCTTCTTACCCCCGCCTATGCATCTTCATCCAGGTTAGAGTGCTCACCATGTAATATCAGGTATTTCTGTTCTCCTTGACTAATGAAGGAGAGTTTGGCCATCCTGAATACCTTTGAATAGTAGAGCTTCTGGAACCACATACACATTTCGAAGATACAGGCAACGACCTCTGACTCTCCTACTGATACAACTGTATTGTCTCCTTTTATTCAATTAGTGACCAAGGGACTTAAAGGCCTTATCTATTTCTGTAGTGGCAGGAGGCATGGAAACTATAAGTCCCAAATCCCCAATAAGCATGAAGGCTCATGTTGGAAAAATCTGCATAAGGAAATTTGATAATGCTATTTCTGTTTTTCCCATCCTTTCTATAGAAGCTGGGAGAGGAATCTTCCCCTCCAAAGTGGGAAAAGCTGAATGTCCCTGCCACCATATATGGAGCAAGAGGACGTTACTCCACAATCATGGAGAGTTGCAATCACATGGTCTTTCATACATAAATGGGGTCTGTAAATTAAATTTGGCCTAAACAGTGATGTGTGTATGTGTAAGAAGTGCTACTTTGTCTATTTTTATTATATCTGTCATTTTTCTTCGAGTACGGTAAACAAATTCCATCTGGGAATATCACACAGAAAGCAGGTCTCACAGAGGACAATTTATACCATTCCCACATCACCCCTCTCTGAATCCTCTTTCCCCAAAAGTCAGTAACTAATTCAAGAAAGTAAACAAGCATTCACTCTGGTCTTGGCACTGAGATAAGTACATAGTCAAGATTGAGATTTATTCACTTCTCCATTTCCAACAGCTGCAAGAGAAGAGAAAGAAGGTACTGTTCAGTTTTCAACTTGAACCGTAACTATCCCGTGGAATTCAAAACATATAAGACAATATAGGATGCCTGGACTTTTTATACTGATTAAAAACAGTTTTGAAATTTGCTCAGCTCTGGGGGGGGGAACTTCTTTGATATCTTTGTAATACTTGGATAACCTATTGTGCAGTTGAAATAAGACACAGGAATCATCTCCGTCTTCATAGTCTCTTTCAGCCCTACACAGAACGCAGGAGCACCTCCTGCTCCTTCCCCCAGACCAGGGGTAGGCAACCTTGGCTCTTTTATGACTCGTGGATTTCAACTCCCAGAATTCCTGAGCCCAGGAATTCTGGGAGTTGAAGTCCATGAATCATGAAAGAGCCAAGGTTGCCTACCCCTACCCCAGACCCATTATAGCTATGCTTCATAGAAATTCAGGCAAAAGTAGCTTAAGTTTCTTGTAAATTAAGTGATGTCTAGGATCGCTACAAACCAGTCAAGCAATAAGGATCCTTGCCAGTGGGTGACTAGGTTGAAATGTGGCAACTTTAAGATGTGTGGCCTTCAACTTCTAGAATTTCCCAACCAGCACATCTTAAGTCCACAAATCTTAAAGTTGCCAAGTTTAAAAAAACACTGACATAGAGCAAAAAAAGGAGATCGTCTTAAGAATCTTTGACTGAAGGGGTCTGTATTTACCAAAAACTGAGTTTCTCCTGTGGCAGGCCATCCACTCAGCATATCCTGGCTACACGATGATATTGTTCCCTGTTTGGCTCCCTGTCATGAATGAAAAATAACTCTTTAAAATGAAAACTTTATCCTGGAAAATAGAAGAAAGAAATCTCAAACAAGATGCATTGGAGTGCTCACCTTTTAAACTGGCACAGTTTATCCTCTTCTGAATTGCCTCAAGTGGTGCTAATGGAAATGCAGCAACCGCATTGTGTTTAATCGACAAGGGTTTTTTTTTTTTCAAAAAGGAAAGAAACAGATGGTAGTGAGACGCTAAAACTCAAATTTATAAAGTGCATATTTTTAAGTAAAATATCTATTTCTGCTACTGCATGCAATATATCGGTATGTGGGGTTTTTTTTTTTTGTCCTAGATAGTAAAATAAAGAATCAGGCACCAGTGCAGCATCTGGTTAATCTACACCAGTGTTTCCCAAACTTGACAATTTTAAGGCATGTGGACTTCAACTCCCAGAATTCCACAGCCAGCATTGCTGGCTGTGGAATTCTGGGAGTTGAAGTCCACATGCCTTAAAATTGTCAAGTTTGGGAAACACTGATCTACACTTATTAAAATATTTGTATAAGAAGTCACTGACAGTTCAGTTTACTTAGTGGTGTAGAACATTCAGTCTGTACATGCTCAGGGTTACTCTTTATTCCCCTTTTACAGGACGGGTTCAATAGAAGCCCTGCATTCCTCATTTTCTCAAAAGAATCACAACTGCAGTGCTGAAGCTGAAAAAGCAGAACACTGAATGCAAACACTCGCCATTGTTTCCATGTTCAGCTTCCTCCTCACAGAGAGAAAACAGTAATTATTACCCTGGCTGAAACACCCTCTCTCTTGTCAGAATTTAATTTGAAATGTGGCTCCCTAGGAACATGGTCCCCATCCTGTTATGCCAGGAATTACGTACTATGCCTTTTTCGTTATCCTGTTTTGTTATGCAGTACAAAAAATCAGATCTCAGCCCCATAGAAAACACAGTCTAAAAATTTCTAAAGGGGGATAATAATACATTGACATACCTTTCCAAAGGACCCTTACCCAAGCTTCACAATTTAGGGTTACCACATCTGGGTTGCAAAAATCTTAATGATCATTTAACGATAGCAAAACCACAATTTTTGAATTTCCTGGCTGCCATCTACTGGCTGTCCCCATTACTACAGCTCAGGTCTGATGTGCCAACATTTTGGCTTTCAAATATATAACATTAAAATCCCATAGAACAGTAAAGACAACATCCCTGTGATTTTACTGAAATACTTTGTGCTCTAATCACTGTTTTATTTCTGTTTCTATGCAGGAAAAAAATAGGCCTGATTTACATAACATAGTAATACATACTACCGTTGCTGTAAACTATGGCTTAATATGCTGAGTGAATCCAGACAATGGAAGGTTATTCAACAACCTGCAGACATGTCAAACTCACGACGTCATGTGACGTCGCATGACGTATCGGAGCTTTTTCGCCGTTGCCAGCAATGGGGTGGGCGCAACTCCAGTATGATGAAACCGGCCCGTGGGCCGGCAGTTTGACACCCCTGACCTATAGCTAATCACACAATAGTGTTAAATACAATGTATAAACTCAACCATAGTATTGCAGTAAGGAGAAAAGTGGTATATTTCTTTAAAATGGTATGTAAACAAGGAATATATATTATTACTAGAAATGAAAAATATTTCTACTACCACCACCAAATTTTATCTGTAAAATGGAAGGGATAGCTTGCATTTACTAAGAGTATAGGAGCACAGAATTATCTCTATCTTCACTTCCACCGAATCATGAGGGATTCAATTTATTATCAATTGCAAATGAAAAAAAAATACTTAGTTGATAATATGGAAATATAATCCAATGAAAATTATTTCATTTATTACTGTCTTAATTCTTTGCCACCTCCTTTTTCTATTCAGTGTTGTTTGTAGGTCTTTTTTCCTTTAAGAAGATACGTAGTATGCCCCAATAGGATGGAGGAAAATACTGAGCTCAACTACAAGAGGATTTTCCCCACTTCTGCTATGGGTTACTTAACTCCCAATTGCAAAACATTGGCTGCAAACTAGTACTACAGCATTGCATGCAGCAAAATATTTTAGACATTCTGCTTTTCCTCCTTTTATCTGAACCTCTATTTTCAATAGAGTACACATTTCCCTGTGCTTTCATTCTTCATTAGTTATGCTACCTGTTGCACTCCCTCCTTCTTTACTCACATTGTATGTTTACACAATCAATGTAGCTATGCATTTGGGGAAGGACAAAACAAAGAAAAAGTGGGTTTGGCTTGTAGTAGATTAGAAATTACTTGAAATTAGGGTTGTGATGTGCTAAGGTTTTGCATGGCATTTCTTGCACCCAGTGTATTTTAGCTCTTAAGATGAATATAGCATGTATAAAATTCTATAAATCCTCTCCAGGGAAGCTATAGGAAGAGTTTATAACAAGGATGGACACTATTTTAACAGCAGCAGAAACTTATGAACATTTAAGACTTTCCAGTGTCCCTTACCATTAAAGCTATTTTTTTTTACTTTTTTGGGGGGGGAGACATATTTTCAATCAAAATCTGAAGACACCTGCTTTTTTTAAATTATATCTATGCTGCAGAATCAATGCTTGTCCAAATAAGATTGGGCAGTTTCAGCATGTTTTCTTAAAAAGTGTTTAAATCTAACAAGTAGGAGTTTTGGTCTTTCAGATTGAATTAATGTATGTTTCCCTTCTAGTCTCTTATATGCTTTTAAGGTTTTCTTCTTTTGCCAAATAATGGCCAGATTAACTTTATTTTGTTTTCATATTTTAATTAAAATATATGCTTTAATATCATCTTTCACTCCGAACAAGTTAGCTTATGGTGATTAATCAAGGTGCTAAGATTGGGTGAGGGACAGAAGGGGACAGTCTTGCCTATAAGAAACAGCACAAATAGATCGTTTTTACGGATAAAATTGATAGTGTTGACATGCTTGGCCATGTTGGAGATGCTTTTTTCCATCCTCCTCCTCCTCCTCCTCTTTTCATTAATTCATCCATCAAGCCTCATGTGGTGAATGGAGCAGTTGGAATGAAACTTATATTATTTAGTTGTCCAGATGTTGTTAATAATCAAAACACATTAAATCAAACCTGTTTTGAAGCTGTGATCAATAATATATATATATAGATATCCAGTTTTCATATATTTAAACAGTGGCTGTTGTATTTCAACATTTTTAATTTCTGCAGTACCTTTTCTAGTTCCATAATGCCCAGGAAGATTGTGAAGCTGGTTTACTAAAAATACGCTAGAGAAAACACAAGATGAGATGTCTTTATTTTATGACATCTATTTTAAAATTTATTTAGTCTATTATACTGTGCAGGGTATACAGTAATTCCTATTACTAGAAGGAAGTGTACTGAGTTAATTTTACATATGAATTACTATATATTGCAACTATCTGTATAGACTAATAATACCTTTTGATAAACAGAGAAAACTTAAGGAATGAAGGAGGAGAAGAATGTATATCCTTTTCTTTGTGCATATATCTTCTCCTTGACTTGTGAACAGATGTAAACACAGTTTTGAATCCAAAGGAAAGAATATACCCAGAAGCCCCAATAGAATTAAAAGAATACCTTATTATAACCAGAAAAGTTGGGTTGGGGGAGTGAGACATTAAACAGCTAAACAATAAAGACTTGATACTGGACAATATCCAATCTGGAGAGCTGTTGAATCAGCAATTCAATAATATACTGTCCTCAAACAAACATTCTGAAAAAGAACAGAGATATTAAAGGTTTCTGTAGAAATGTGGGGCATCATTTTTCTTGAAGTATCTCTCTCACACATTTGACTCTATGCCCACAATGCTAGAGTAGACAAGATGGAAATAATCAAAAACAGCAGCAACCTTCTCCAAAAAATTGGCAATACTTTCTCATTTATGATTGCATGGCAGCTATTCATAACTATAACTCTAATTTGATATTGTATGACTTCAGTCTAGTTTTTGATTAAAAACAAAATAAGTTAATAAGTTAAATACATAAGATGAGGAAAGACCCATGCTTTTTTATATAAATATCACTTCAATCAGAATTTGGCCAGAAACCAATACTGTGGCGTATTAAATTGCTGTCATTTGAGCTAGTGAAGAACTTATGCAATTTTATATCAGCATTAAGCTAGTAAAACTGGAATACTTTGCCCAATGAAAGGGTTCTCTGGAATTATTTAATTTCCTTTTCTGGGGAAGAAGAAAGCAAGCTTACCTTGAAGAAAGTGATTCAGTTTCAGACTACTCTGCTCACCAAACCGCCAGGAAAAGTTTTTTGTGACTTTTTTCAGCATTGATACTCTGACTTTATTAATAAGTAAAGATCCATGAAAAATGTGTACCACTAACATGTGTCTATGTAACAAATCTCCACTTTCCATATGGAATGAAAACGCCCTGTGTAAAGTGTCTGGTAAATTGAGGAGACCTGAGTATGTGGGATGAAGTTTCTGCTTTCTTCCAAAAGCTTCTCCTTTTATACAGTGACACAACTGGTGAAAGTTAGGCTGTATCTTTATTCCAGCACATATTATTAATGTGTATTTAGTCAAAGATAATTTCTCTTTATCGGCTATACTGAGGATAACAAATGTAGCATTACCCCTGAAAGGGCTACTAGAATCTGAGTCCCTTGGCCCTTTTCCCAGGCAATTTGGTTCCTCCCTGTTTTCAGGCACTGGCCTGATGTCTCAAGGTCTGCCATTCTGTCCTGTGCCCTGGCTGTTGGCCTACTGTGGTCAATCGTCCAGGCACCTCCACTCATCCACCTCCTGGTGTTCCCTCTCCTCAATGGCTAAACCAGTCACCTAGATCAGCAGCGCTCTCTGGTCACTGGCTTACCCACGTATCTGGATCAGCTCGTCTCCATCCTCTGTTGTACATCTGCTGCCCTCTCTGCTCACCGGCTCATCCACTTCCCTGGAAAAGTTTGTCATCTGATGCGTATGGAATATCTGCTGGTCACTAGCTCACACAATCTGATGTCTGATGCCCCCTCTGTTCACTGGCTGACCACTCACCTAGATCAGTTTGTCTCCACTGTCTGCAATGCATCTGATGTCCTGTCGTCACTGTCGCACCCACTCACATTATTCAGCTTGTCTCCAAAGTGTGCTGTGCATCTGGTGCCTTCTCTGGTT